ACCCACATCACACGCCTAATTCCTCAAGGCGGATTCTTTCTAGAAAAGGTCGATAACACAAAGTTAAAAAAAACCAGCGACTATATAAACAAGGCTTTTACCTTGAAAAGAGCTGATCTAATCCTCAAGGGGGATTCTTTCTGAAAAAAAACCTCCGATATCTCCCACTAGTTGCAAAAAAAAAACCATCATTAAATCTGAGAAGATTACTTAGTGGAGTTGCAGCAAAGAGACTAAGAGCCAGCCAGTATGAACACCAATGAATAGTTCGAATAATTTTAAAACACAATCAACATGGGTTTTGTGCAAATTTCGAACATAAATTATCCCTTTGGCTAGGAATGAAGAGTTAAATGAATATAGTGCATAAATAATGTGTTCAAAATATTTTCTTATTCTTCAAATTTAGTTCCAGCCACGAAGTATTGCTTCCAAATCTGAAGGAAACGCTGGTAAATATCACATTCGGTTTATATAAGGTTCTAACTAGCGATATGTGTCTGTTTCGAAGATCTTCAAGTATCGTTTTCAAGATTTCTTTACCGCTAAGTATTAAAAATTCTTCAAGTTCGTAAGCTGATTAACTGGTTGGGGTGTACTTAGTTGCCAACTCCTTGTAGACTAGGTTAATAAGTTTTAATATCATTTACCAAGTTGTGACCTCAATAAACCAAACTATTTAGTATTCAATGTCACATGAAGCGTTGTTGCCAATTTTCACACTTTCACTAGCAGCATTTAATATTTTAGTCCACTTGATTGAGGAGTGGTTACATAAACATATATACATATACATATGAACCTATATATTTATGTGTATATAAAAATATATTCAGTCCCTTATACCTATAGCTATATAAAGATCTCGTCGCAGTTAATGAAAACCAACTCAAGTGAGAACGCTCACAACTTAGCTGCCACAATTTCGTTAATTACGCCATCAGCATAAAATTAGCACGCGGCAAATGTGAGGCGTGATCTCTCGCCCCATTCCCCCATACTCTTCTTACTCTGGGTATATCTGCCACTGCTTTTGCTTATCAACGGTAAATGTGTATATTTTATCATGGTGGAACGCTTGTGGCAACTTTGCACTTGCAACACATGCGCTTATTGCAACATGTCCATGTGTGTGCATTTGTGAACTGTGGCACACGAGTGTACTTTAATCTCTTTGCACATTAAGTCAGCAGGACGATTATAACGTTAATTAGTTTGGATGTGTGCAGTCAAATCGGAGAGAGGGCGCGGAGAAGTAAAACAGAAATCACACAGAAAAAAAACACACACATAACCCTATTTAAAGTCATAAAAACAATTTTAATTTCGTACATAACTACATAGTTATATGAAGAATACGAAAATAGGAAAACGCAACAACACTAATACAGGACTAATGCTAGGTGCTAATTTTTTTATAGATTTAATTTAAAAAAATTAAAATTTGTTTTTGAAATTTTTGTATAGATAAAAATAAGCTTATTTATGTATGTACTTGCTATGGTTTCCACTTTCAATATTTTTTAAGAAATGTTTTGCATTTAGATGTTCATTTTTTTGTTGTCAAAAATTTGTGTTTTTGAAATAATGATTTTATTTTAGTTCTGCCTCCACTTAAATGTATTATTTAAGAGAATTAAGGATATGCTTTGTACAACAACAATTAATTTTCATATATTCTAGAGTATTCTTTCGCAACGATTAAATGTGATGACGTGTGTATAGAAATAAGTATAAAAACACAAGAAAAAAATGTATGTCGCATATTACAAAATTATTTAGAAAGTTGTACATTAAAATTATACATACTATCGCAAGGGTTTTCATCTTTTCTCAACTGTTTTACTTAAAACAAAAATCACGCCACCACTACTCCACTTTTGAAATATCAAATTTATCAGGCATATTTGTTAATAATCTTTTCAGAGAAAAGTAAAATTAAAATTCTTTGAAATTGAAATGAATAAATATATGAATTAAAATATTTTCAATACCATCTGACTAATTTGACCAAGATTGGCAAAAAAACTATATTTTCACGTATTTCAATAAAAAAATGTATTTTGTTTGCAGTCATGTCAACGTTTATTTGATTTTCATTACACTTCTAATAAGCCTCCGCTGGGATGGCCATCAGTGCCTTAAGCGAATTTTGGTTTTTCCGGTTTCGGCTCATTTTTGAAGCACCATTGTCTATAGTGTTGGACAGTTTAGGCGTTATATTCATTAACCCAAGTCTCGTGATGCGTTGGATTCCTCAGCTAATTACGTTGTCAAGCATCTCTTTTGCGAACTCTAATCGACATCGTTTTTGCAAAAGATTCAAGTCTTTTGGTACGAGTCTAGCATTGACACATTTCATACCCAAAAGATTAAACAAATGTATTGGGTCGCTCCATATTGAGATCCTCCGCCATCTCTCTGATGCCAACACGACGATTTTCAAGCACTGTTTAACTCTTTCGATGATATCGTCATTAACAGCGGTGGATGGACGACTCGCATAACGCAAATTTTCGATAACTTCACGGCCTTCACTGAATATCTTGTGCCACCTAAATACTTGTGTTCGTAATAAAGTAAACTCCCCAAAACACTTTTGGAACATTTTTAAGGATTACGTTGCCGCAATTCCAATGGAAGCACGACATTTCAAGCAAATTTTTTGTTCAATTTCTTTTCATGGTAAATATGACCACAAATTAACACATGGAAATTAAACTTCAAACGGCTATAAAAAAGTTTTATCGGACTAGTCCAGGTCAAATTTGATCAGATGATATATTTCTAAACAGGAACCTCAGTGTAAGAATACTTTTTCCAATAAGTGAAACCAAAATATTAGGAGAGGCATGTATTTATATTGCCTGCACCACTTAAAAAACTCCCTAAACTATCATCTCCATAAAAAAAACCAGACTTAAAGCGTGGGGAATCGAACAAACAACAGTATGACATTCTTAAGGGTGCATACAATTTTTTTAAGAGTAGACGAAGCTACAGAAGAACACATATCAACAAAGACAGTCAGATTAAGCGATATACTTGCTTTCTTACTCTATAATCTCTCTGTATTTCTCTCTCTTTCTTTATATATGATAAATTTATATAAGATTTAATAAATAGTCGCTAAACAAAGATCTTAACAATATGCCTGGAGTTAATTTCATAAATTCCCTCATGTCTTTATATTTTTGCACTTCACCATTTTATTTAATTTTCAAATATTTTGCGAAATAAATTAAGTTTTCTACATAAACTTGATGAACACAAAACAATCAATCTCCCATTTAGAATACATATTTGCTTTGCTTTTGGTAGATTTAATTACTGTTACTTGTTTCTGAGGCAAATCAAACACCTAAAAAGCCTTTATATATCACCTGATTTAGAAGTTAGAGCTCAGTTAAAAGATTAGTACATTGATTATATTTATTTATTTATTCTTATTTATTAAATTAATAATTTTTCTGAAGTGACTTCCATTATAATCTTTGCTGACTAACACTTTTTATTAACAACAAAGAAATATTAATAAATTAAAATGTAATAATAAAACTACAATTTTTGTCCAGCTGAAAATGTATATTGTAATTTAATAAGAAAAACCTAATTACTCAAGAAGTTTTTTAATTTTTTACAGCTCCAGAAGAAAAATTTGCATAATTCATGTACCAATTTCAAAAAGTTGAATCTATTTTAAATTATCTATATAAATAGTGTTTTGACTTCACATTTTTAATATTTACTTATTTTATTTAATAATGTATGATTTATTTATTACTTATTTTTTTTAATATTTTGAAGGCTTAAACAAATCTAATTTTCACCTCTAAGCTTCTGTGTTTTAATAAAAAATTAATTAAAAAACAGACCATTCCGACAGAAAATTTATAGTAAAAAAAATTAATGTTACATTATACTTTTGAATGACCGAAAAAGTTAATTTTCACTTGCAAATTTAGCCCATTTTACTTAAAAGTATTAGAGTTTTTAATAAAAATGCAAAAGAAATTTTGTTGAGACCTTAGATTTATAATTCAACATAAAATTTAATGTTTAATAGGTGTATTTAATTTTTAAAGTTATTTTCAGTCTTTAGTATATACAAAATTTTCCAACTATATATAATTTATTTATGATTTCAATTATTTTTATTTTTTGGTTTCTTATTGTTATTTAAAACTTTAGGAGACTTAAAAAATGAAAATGGAAAATTTTACAATTTTTCAAACTTCTTACATAATTGCCGTTTAGTTAAAAATATAAAAACAGAACATCGTACTAATAATTTGATTAAAACAAATAAATTTACATTTATATTTTTTAATTTCCGCATTAAAAAGAGATATAAGCAATTATAATATTCCATAGAAAATTTATTTTTGTTGCTCTTGATTTTAAAGAAATTTATTATTTTAAGAAACTTACCCCCAAATCGTGGACCCTGTCATGCCACAAGTCCAAGCAAGCTCTAAAGAAATTTTTTTTTTAATTTACTTCCAAATTTTTACTTCTCCAATCATATTCTTGTCTCTCTCTCCCTCTCTCTATAGTATGCAATGCAAATATATTTATGCTACTCTTCGTTCTTAGACTTTCTTATATTCATATTCTTATACATATTATTATAATATTTTATAAGTTTTTAAATATGTACGTACTTACATATGAAAATATTTCATTATTCTATAACGCTCAGTACTGTACTACAAATACTACAAACATTACTTTAAATACTATTCAAAATAATTTTAAGTCATTTATTTAAAAAGCAAATAATAATTCAAATACCAAAAATTCATGATTTTAATAAACGAAAATTTTCAAAAATTCTTTTCTCCAAATCTATACCCCATACTTGCCAAAACTGTAACGATTCGTACCAATTGAAACTGTTGTTCCCGTTATGAAACAATTTGTTTTCCATTTAAATACTACTGACACCCGTTAAACCGTTTACCGTTATCGTTATCGTTCACACGTTGTAACATATAAAGCCATCCATCCAAAGTCAAAGTGGTCGTCGTCCGAGCTGGATTGATCAGAGGGTCAAAATTCAGACACGCAAATTTAGCATCAAAGTTAGTCTTCACCATAATTGAGTATCACATAAATTTTCTACTTAACTTAATTTCGAAATTTTCTTACAATGAAAATTTTAAATTTATTAAAACCCAAAAAAAAATATTACCAATATTAATATTATTATTATTATATTTATTATGGTTATAGATACTAGCAATTTTATTGAAAATTAATTACAATTCGCTTTTACTAATCAAATTTTGCATAAGTTGATTATCCCAAAACACTTTAAATAATTATAACAAATTAGCAAAGCCTTTAATTGATTTGAATTTAAGAAAAAAAGTAGTTTTGAATTTTGTTTTTCTGAATTGGCCTGTTGTTGCATAACTTTTGTTTGACATAAAAAAATTTGCAAAGTAGCCGAAATTAGAACAAAAAGTCTTTAGTACAACTCAGCGATTCTTAAACTTACATAACAACCACTAGAAATCACGTTAACATCACTTAACTGTCTAAGAGAAATAAAATTATGCTCCAGTTGTATAGATGTAAATATTTATCTATGTAAAGTGGCTTAATGTTTAACGTTTCGCACAGTGTTTTATTATGTATTATTTTTGTTTCAAAAAAAGTAGATGCATGTTTTTTTATTTTTATATCACTACCATTAGTAATTTGTTTATTTAACCGAAACATGTTAATATATGTGTTATTATTTGCAAAAATAACTATTGTAGTTTTCGTTAACAAAAAGGGACGAATTGGAATGGGAACCCAATTTTTAAGTGAATTTTATTAACGCAAAAAATATGCCTAAAACTATAAAACAAATTTTTAAATTGAAGGAACGAAATGGGATCGAAACAGTCTTTTTTTTTGTAATACATAAAATTATTTCTCGTATCAGAGAAAGTAAAAATTAATTCAATTTCAGCAATTTTACAACAAATAAGAAACACTATAAAATAATAGCGCAGTTCAAAATCCTTTGTGAGGAAAGTTAGCAGAAAGTTAAAAAACGCATTGGAATCAGACCACTATTTTGAATTAAAAGTTATTAACGAAAACACATACCTAAAAATTATAAACTTAGTTTTAAAGTTAGGGAACGAAATGGAGTTGAAACAGTTTCATAAATTTTTTTTGTTGATGTGTATATATATAAAATATTTTTCGTATAAGAAAAGATTCTATTTATTCAATTTCAGCACTTGATAAAAAAATATTGTGAAAGCAACAATATGAAATTGAAATACCAGAAATCAAGTATTTGCTACTGTCAAAAAAAATTGTAACTATCTACAGCTAAATTAACAGCACAGTTAAAAACCATTTAGTAAAAAGTTAAGGAACGGGTTAGAAGCGAAACAAAATTTTTAAAGTAAGTAAAAGTTATTAACGAAAAAATAACCCTAAAGATATTAAACATAGTTTTTAAAAGAAGAAACGAAATATAATTGAAACAGTTCTTATACTACTTATATGTATGTGTATATAAAACTACTTTTTGTATAAGATAAAGTCTATTTATTGAAAATCAGCACTTTAATGTTAAGAGCGTTATGATGTATATATAAAAATGCACAAGAGACAATATGAAATTGAAACATCGTGAAACCAAGTACAAATCATTTACATACAATCTTCGATTTTAGATACAACAACAGAATGGAATTCAATTTAATAAGCACTAATTTTGTACTCGGGTGTAAATTAAGTTACGGCCCGAATGAAAATTGAAACCACATGTTTTTTTTAACTAACCCAAAACTTTTTTTCAAATAGGAATATATATGTATACAAGTATGTACAAATATATATATATATATATATATATATATATATATATGTATTTTGGAGTATCTACCCTGTACATATATATATATATATATATATATATATATATATTATATAACATTGGAGATGAATGGAACTTAATGAATGAGCTATGACAACAATTTCGAAACCTAAAACCTTACAGGAAATGCCTGGAATTAACCACATTGCTGAAATTTATTGAGTTGGAAACAAAGAATGTTAATCTAAGAAATACTAGAATCAAATATGTGTGCATATTGTGAAGAACAAAATGGAAATGGAACAAAATATTTGTTTTCTTAGTTTTTACTAGCAAAAATGTATTTAATACGTTCCCAAATTTCACTAGACTAGTTATTTTATTTAAATATAGTGAAGAACGGAATGGATACGGAGCGAAAAAAAATTTATTTCATTTTTGGTAGAAAAAGTAATTTTTATGTGAACAGAAATTTCCCTAGGTCAGTTTATTTTTTTAATTTAATCATAACGAGAAGCGAAATTGAAAAGGAACCAAATTTTTTCTTAACTTTTACGTACAAAAATGTTTTTTATATATTTAGAAGCTATTAATAGGCAACACAAGGTGAGAAACGATTTGGAATCGAACAATCAACACAAAAAAATTTCTGAAATTCACCACAGAAGTACACTTTATGACTGTTTTAATAGGCAGCTTACTGATATCGACGCGCTTCTGATGTTTTACCTTATCCACCTGCCATTTACTCTCAACAAACTATTAGCATACATTGACGCATACTCATATCGGTGTATGCCATCACTGGCGTGTTTGTACTTAAGTAAGCTTCATACAAAGCGGCTTAAATTTAATTAAAACCACACAAGCCATTTTACAAACTCGCCAGCGACAGCCACAATTAATTGCAACGATTTAATGTACTCCCTCATGTAACGACACACACACATATACATATGTACGTAATGCATATGCTCACGTGTGAAGCACCACTAAAAGCATATGAAGCTCAAAATACTTGTACAACAACAAGGAGCATAAACTCATATTTGCAAGCGCACTTATGCATATTCTCGAGGTGTGTACATATATGTGTCTGTATATGTTTGAGTGCCTAGAAGGTAAAGTGGTCAATTGATCCGGCGAACAGACACACTTGCTGCACATACATATAGTTGTACCATATGTATGTATGAGTATTTTATATATATTTGTATATCTGTGCAAGTGTGTATGTAAACGTCCGACAACCACTAGCAGAAGGCAAGCTAAGACAAAAGGCCCAATCGCTACCACAACCACAGGCTGCAGGTGACTCTTAAAGCATACATACACATAGATACTGACAGTGACAGGAAATTGATGCTAATCGATTTTAAGCTGTTTGCCTTGGCATTTGCCATCACCTTAGTGCCTTTGCTGCGTGGGAAGAGCTACTCAGCAAATATTCACAAATTAACACGTACTAGTGGGGTGCAATATACTGTGATGCTAATAACGGGATTACTTATATCTTTTTTTTTGTGCTGATTTTCTAATTCATCTTCTCCCTCTCTTTCTCTCTCTTTCTTTCCCTTTTTGTTTGCTTTCGAGCGTCTGTTAGTGGTATTATCAGCGCTTTCAGCGCAATCTTTTAACCGTTTATGTGTGTTTGTGTCTGCTAATCTGTCCACCGCTGTCGTTTACAATTGCTGCCAGAATTTCTATGGATATGGCAGAGCAAATTAGGCTCAACATTAGACAGCATAGACTCGCTGATCAATTATAGATATTTGAAAGCGTTTTTTTTTTCATTTTGCTTTTGCTGGCGAAAGATGTAAGAAAGAAGAAAGCAAAAATGATACAGGCACTTAGAATACGTTATGCTTATAAGAGAAAAAATTACTCAAGTAAAAATAAATACCTACATATATTATGTACAAGTATATGCCAACATTGTTGAAGGTCACGTGATTTGACTAGCGTGTGTTTTTGTTGGCACTGACAGCTATAAATCTTCAATTTTGTTTTTAAATCCTTGCTGCGAAGGATAGTGAAAAAGAAAACGCAAAAAAATCAATTGAACTTTGACACAAATGTACACAGTTACAAGCAAACAAATAACAGCGCGTTTGTTTGCGTAAATATACGTACATGCAGCAGTACTATTAGTGCCTGCTCGTCTGTGTAATTGCCAAGGCAAGCCACAGGAATGGCCCAATGGCCTTGACGAGCTTCCAAGCACACAGCAATATATGTGCTATAAGCAGCTGCAAACCTATATATACAGTCCTAACTTTCTGCTTAGATATACATATCTACATATGTATGTTTGTTTGCATGTGAAGTAGTACATAACAAATTAGTAAAGCAAACACCGCTTAGAACTGTGTACTATATATGTATGTATAAATGTAGAAGCGACGAACTGGACACGCCAAATAGCCTGGCAAATGAACGAAATCGAAGCAAAAGACCGTTTGACTATTGCTTTGCTATTAAAACTGCATATTGATTGCATGAGGATTAGATGAAACTCATAATTACGATACTGCGACACGGTGGCTAATTTAAGGCGAATATTTAAAATCTTTGATCGAAATGCAAAGTTTTCAACGAATGTTATTTGAAAATTGAATGTGGTATGGAATAGAATCGGAACAATATATTTTTATATGCTTTTTTTTGTAGCAGTGATGCTTTTTATTGCAAAAACTTAGCAATATATGAAAGAAAATATTAAATAACAAGCAAGGAAGGGCTGCGTTCGGATATAACCGAACATTTTATACTCTCGCAAAGTCAAATGGTATACTCGTGAATTGACTGATATTTTCGGTAGAAGGTCAACTATAGACACTGGGGTCCACCCGATATAATCATTGTTGCTTGATATATATAGTGGAAAGTGAAAGAATCAGATGGAATTGAAAATGGTGTTATATGGGATGTAGGCGTGGTTGTAGTCCGATTTCGCCCATTTTCGCACTATGACATAGAAATATAAAAAGAACGTTATACACCGAATTTGGTTGAAAACGGTTAAGCAGATCCCAAGATATGGGGTTTCACCTAAAAGTGGGCGGTTCTTATAAAGTTATCTCTAAAATTTAGTAGTTTTTAACAGTACCGTTATATGGGGAGTGGGCGGAGGTGCCACCCGATTTCAACTATTTTCACACTGTATGTAGAGGTTCTAAAAACATTTGCTTCCAGTGAATTTTGTAATTATAGCATTGGCGGTTTAGGAGATATGCACATTAAACCTATTAGGGG